TTATGCGATAAAAATAAGTTTGAGAAATTGACTTTTCTTATTTTTTTTATCAATCTATTGTCATTATTTTTCATAAATAAAAACTCAAATTTATTTGACGATTAATCTTATTTCTTATTCAATTTGTAAATTTCATAACATATCATTCATGTATAAAATACTTCACAATCGACCTAGAATAGGAGGTCATAAATTTTTGAATAAAATATATCTTCTTCTTTTTTGGAAAAATATTAAAGTATAAATTATGTATTTTTTCTCAAAAAATAAATTATAATCTTAATATTAAAAATTATGGGCTTCATATATCAATGGGCCGAACACACATGGGCCTTACAGGTGAACATTTCATGATTGGCCCATTAGGGTTTCGTTAGGTATTTTAGCTTCATATTAGTAGTGTTTTTCTCACACAAGCTTCTTCTTTAACTCATTCCCCACAGCCCCAAGCGCCGGCGGAGGCTTAATCGACGAACAGCAATGGTACGATTCAGTTATCTTTTTATAATTTCAATGAAATGTATGTTATAGATTTTCTATTGTACTTTTGAATTCATGATATACATTTTGTTGTTTAAATTTTTTTATAGCTATAGAGTTTTTCATTCATAATTTGTACTGTATATGGTTGTTTGGTGTATACAAGTGTGTAAATTGTGGTTTTGGTGTTATTTTATTGTTTATGGATCTGTTTTTATGTTATTGATATGTGCTTAGTTTGATTTGCTTTTGTTTTTCCACTTTTTATTTGGTGCATGTATGAAAATGTTAACAAAAAATGAATTTTCTCTTGGAAAGTATGGATCAGAATATTTATTTCGTATAAATATTAGGCAGTAGATAATATAATATTAGGCAAGGAGTTTGATTTTTGTAGAACTAGTGATGGAAACTGTCTTATTCTCTTTTGTGAACATGGATTTTGCATTCTATATCTGATTTGAGCTTGATTTTTTAATGACAGTATATCACTCGAGTTTAATTTAGGTTTTAAACTTGAAAGGTTCAAGCTTTAAGGTTCTTATTTTTGAACTAATTATACATTTTAACATCTAGACTAATTTTTATCATGTTTTTATGTGGTGTCCATAAATATTCTGTTTGTAACTAATGAACTCTATCTTACACTGCATATCCCTTGATGTGATTGAACCACTTTTTAACATCTAGATCTAAAATAAAGCTTATGTTACTTACTCGACATTCCAATTGCATTTTGTTTAGGAAAAAAATGTATATGACCTGCAAATTAATGGTTGGTACAAGTTGCGTAAAACTATGATTTGAATGCTTCATTTTCTTTGAGTTTTGACATTGTTGCTAAATTATGTTGCAGGCCTTCATCAAAGTCCAGAAGACAAGGGCTTACTTCAAGCGTTTCCAGGTTAAATTCAAGAGAAGGAGAGGTAAAACTCATCTTCCTTCATCTTTTCTGGTCTGTTTTCAATCTTGTTTGCAGTTAAAGTATCACTAATTTCAATGTTTTGCTAATGTGTAGAGGGAAAGACTGACTACAGAGCCAGGAATCGTTTGATCAATCAGGACAAAAACAAGTACAACACTCCAAAATACCGCTTCGTTGTTCGATTTGTATCCTTTCTAATGCATTTTCTGCCTTTTTAATTTGCAAAGCAGCTACTTGATAAATTGCTATTTCTTTCGGAGAATCATCTACTGTTTGGTCCATGGAACAATTCCTTATTACTGTGCATTCATTGAATGTCACTTGGAATTCCTTGATTAGTGATGGAAATTCTGAGAGTAACTTTTCTGTGATGCTGGGAGGTGATTTTTTCCCGTGTTTTATCTTAACATTTTCCTCTAGACTAACAAGGACATAATTACACAAATTGTGTCTGCTAGTATTGCTGGTGACATGATTCTTGCTTCTGCTTATGCAAGCGAGTTGCCTCATTTTGGACTGAAAGTTGGATTGACAAACTATGCTGCTGGTACTTACTCAAGCTATTCATTTATTGGTTATCCAGATGAAATTCTTCTGTATATCTAATATATGATAAGTGGTTTGCTACTGATTTCAGCATACTGTACCGGACTTCTCTTGGCAAGGCGAGTTCTCAAGAAGCTTGAAATGGATGAAGAATATCAAGGAAATCTTGATGTAAGTGGTAGCTGCAAGCAAGGTTTCTGTGTGCATCTTTTGTCCTGTTTGCAGTTTCTTTTGTATCTAACTTCAAATGCATGTTGTCACAGGTCAATGGAGAGGACTACTCTGTTGAACCTGCTGAAAGCAGGAGGCCTTTCCGTGCTCTCTTGGATGTCGGCCTCTTAAGAACTACTACAGGGAACCGTGTTTTTGGTGCTCTCAAGGTATCAACCTTCTTTTGCTGTTGGTTCCTTGTCTGAGTTAAAGTCTATACGATGCGCCCCAGATTGCTAAATTTTTTCTTTTAATTGAAATTTTTTGTTTGTGAACAATATCGTATACTTTCTGTGAGTTGTTGCTTGAATGGTTCTTTTATTAGCTATAACTTCAACGTGAAGAACATTTGCAAGATTATTTTGATCTCTGAGAAACTCAAACTTTGTTCAAGTCTCCTAAGTATGGTTGGGGCTGTTGGGTAGATCTTGTAGTAATTCTTCTCTTTGAGGACCATGTATTCCTTCATTTTATTATTTAAGGTGCATTAAACAATAAACTGTATCTGCAACATTTTTTCTTGGTTTCAGGGTGCATTGGATGGTGACATATTAGTTATGCATTAATCATGTCATGTGACATTTAACTGTGGCTTATCAGTGTTGTTGAATATTTGTTTCTTTGACTCAGGGTGCATTGGATGGTGGGATTGACATCCCTCATAGCGAGAAGAGGTTTGCTGGATACAGCAAGGACTCTAAGCAACTCGATGCAGAAGTTCACCGCAAGTATATCTATGGTGGCCACGTTGCTGCTTATATGAATGTGAGACATAGAAGTGCTTTAGATTGATTCTTTTGTAATTTAAGTAGAATCTTCCATGGTAGGGAGGGGCACAGAAGATTGTTTGATTTTCAGTGTTCATTCTGGCTTCTATTTACTCCTCATCTCTAATATGCTTGATCATTGTTTGCAGACTTTGATGGAAGATGAACCTGAGAAATATCAGACACACTTCAGCTTATACATCAAGGCGGGTCTTGAGGCAGACAATCTTGAGGAGATGTACAAAAAGGTTCATGCTGCCATACGCGCAGACCCAAGTCCAAAGAAGTCTGGAAAGCAACCTCCCAAGACACACAAGAGGTCTGAAATTTCTATCCTTATTCAGCTTTATAGAAAATGATCATTAAAAAATGATAGAAGTTAAAATCATTAGGACAAAGCTGAAATTCATAGCTGCGCACTAGTGTTGTGTGATTTGTCCTAGTAGTCCCGTTCTTCATTTGCTTGAGCTGTAACTTGTTTTGATGCATTTCTGGAGGATCTTCATCTCTACTGATTATCTTGCTACATTACTGTCTGAACTACATAGTGCTTATATAGATGTGTCCTGACAGAAACTCCATCGCTTTCTAAACCATACTACTTGGGGGCTGTTCTGCAGGTACAACCTTAAGAAGCTGACTTATGAAGAGAGGAAAGCTAAGTTGATCGAGAGACTCAATGCTTTGAACGCAGCTGGTGGAAATGATGACGATGAGGAAGACGACGATTAGTGAATTTGTAGAAGAACTTTGAATCCTTGTTGCCTTAAGGTTTTCTATTAATATTGTTTTTCTTTTGCTACTAGGTAGAAACCTCAGTTTTGCATGCTTAGTAGAATGAGACTTGTCAATTTTGACAAATGTATGGGATTATATTTTTGCTTCAGGCATCTATTCCATTGAGTTTTAACTTATATATTTGTCTATCATTTCATTTAAAAGATAATTAATTATTCATAGTGATCCCTTTCTGAATAACGACTTGACTTGTAGGAAATTAATTTTGTTTTAAAGATCATATTGGTTAATAATCAATAATATATATAATATCAAAGCGTTGGTTAAAGTTCTGATGACATCACCAATAACCATTTTTATAAAAAATATTAGTTTATTTTATGATCGTCTCGGAACAAAACTTATTTGTGAAAACAAAAAACAAGTTTTCAAAATTTTATGACCTCTAATAACGAAAATAAAATAAATTTCTTCCAAAAGTAGTAACCATTATCGGCAATTCAACTTTATATTAATATGAGACCATTCATTTCACTTGAACAAGTAAAACAAATAAATTTCTTCCAAAAGTAGTAACCATTATCGGCAATTCAACTTTATATTAATATGAGACCATTCATTTCACTTGAACAAGTAAAACAAATAAATCATTTAATTATCGTCAATCGTCACTACCATCTTCATCCGAAAAACTTTCTCCAATTAACAAATCAACTAATAAAATCATATCTAAAATTTACAAAAATGATCCGAAGGTGGAATATATGGAGTGAGAGAGAGAGAGAGTGTTTTGACTTTTGGGTGTGTAAGGAAGAGAGATAACAATTAATTAAATTTGGTAAAATATAAAAATCGTAACTCATTTTGACGATATAGTTAAGTCAATTCTACTTTCAAATAGTTATCTCATTGAAATATTAATAAGATCGATAGAAAATCATAAGCTCTCATCTTCAAAACTCAACACAAATTAGAATATTACATTAGCTGATTTCTTCTATCCTTTATAGCTTTCGACATTGTTATTTGATACCTAATTCTGGTGTAAAATGATAAATATCTCATAAAATTAATCCAATTGCGCGTGTAAATTAAATTGAACTCCAAGTTTTCTTTTAAAAAAAATTCATCTACATTGAAATCTGACTCTTAAACCTCATTTGAGGAGAAACTTTTTTTTTCCGGTATCTAAATCTCGAATCAAACTCTTTGATTAAGATAAGAGCAGCCCAAACACCATTTTTATAAAGAAAATTAGTTATAGGGTTATTATTAATTTATATATAATTATAATTTAACAAATAAATGACAGATTGATAATATATACGTACTATTAATTAAAAAGTCCAGGTCTATTTTTTCCCCAATTAACATCTCACCTCGGCGAAAGAGGAATTAGGGTTTTAATAGCATCTCAATTGGAGGGCAAAATAGATTTGTGCTTCGACGGAACCCTAATTTGCTTCTCCGATCACTCTGTCAGATTGAGTATGCTTTCTTTCTACGTCGAAATTTGAATTCATATATTTTGTATGATTGTATGTTTTTTGGATTCCTCTTTGCTGTTTTTTTGCTTATAATTGAACTCTGGCGATGAAGATGTTTGGTTGATACTAGAATGTATTAAATGATGAGAATTGGCAGCAATGACTTAACTTTGGATTTCGAGTGAATTTGAAATATACTGGCATTTTTAGTATGTCAAATTTTGAATTTTGGCGTTAAAGGTGGTCTAAGATTTTGTAAATTGAAAGTCCAGTTATTGATTATTGGGATTGATCTTTATGGAGTTTTGATGTTTTTTTCGATCTTTTGTAAATGTATGTTTTTTTTAAAGGATAGACAATAACAACAAAAAAATCCAGTGAAATCCCATAAAGTGTGGTTTGGGGAGGGAGATTGTACGTATTAGGCCTTACCACTACCTCAGAGAGGCTGTTTCTTGAAGAACTTCTGATCAAGTAAATCAAAGCTGTAATTAAAAGAAAACATGACAGCCCTTGTCATATCTGTAAAGAGGATTCCCAGTGAATTATCTTCTTTTTGTGTAGATTATGAGTTTTCTTTGTTATATATCCTGCTAGCGAGTTAATCTTTCCTTCCCAAAATAGTGACTGAGTCTCCTTGTTGCCTCATTTGAAAAAGCTCAATCATTTTTCTTCATATGGCATATTTCCCTCAAACGAATCAAACTGATAAATTGATGCCTTTTATATTGTTTATAGACCAAACACATTAAGGCCCCTTAAACTTGCCACAAGTTTTCATTTTGCTACCTTGGCTCAACTATGGCTTGTTCCAATCAGACACTTAAAGTAAGTCTGAACTTTGTCTTTGAAGCACCTCACCGATAATCACCTAAAAATATTAAGTGTGTGTTATTCACACTCATTGACATGAATAAGTTCCAAATAAAATGAAGACACGTGGCATTTGGATTCATATATTAAACAACATTATAAAATAATATATATGTTATTTTCGCATGATCCCTCCCATCGTGAATTTTCTTCCCACTTCACAATACCAATGGTTATACCAGTGTTCTTCACTAGCCTCTTCCATCGTCTCCTACCCCCACCCCTAAAGCTTTGCTCACATTCTTCTTCAATTTTCAATCCCAATTGTTGCCAGTATTGTGTTTTGTGTTGTGCATTATTAGTGCTATAAGTTGTTCGCATTATCTGACTTCTCCTTCTAATAAATAATTAAACTAAAAATGTATGCCTTTAGTCCATGACTCCACGCCTCTTTGTTTTTCTAGTATCCTAGAGACCCAGGCCAATGGTTATTATACTAAATGCGAAATAGTGATTATCTAATTTTATCATTATTTTGTATCATAACGATCTTGATAGTTCTTGTTTCAATCAAATTAAATTGAATCATATAGTATTTCATGATTCAGTAGTTTCAGATGACAATAGAAAGAAGACAGGAAAAGAAATTAAGTAGAATATTTTTTTAGGCTTTCACTCTCTTAGTGAAAATGTGATACACACACTCTCCCACATCGCTTATTTGTGTTTAATAGGTATACTTTTAATGATGTTGAAGTGTATATAATAATTAGTGTTATAGAAAGCGAAATTAAGGTCCTTTGGGATTTTAGCGCAAATAAAGCGTGTGCTTTATTGGAAAAAGATGCAAATGGAGAAAAACTACAAAGATGTATTTGTAATCCAAGACTAATAATCATAAGCATGAACAATAAATATACGGACAAAGAAATTGAAAAATAATTATAATAAAATGAAATATCAACTGTTTAGTGCCACCTCTTCAAGATTGCACTCATTGGTAAGGAAAAATATGTTTTACATCCTTGGTGACAACACCAAAGTGCTTATAAAGCGACAGAAGCACTCAACCTGTTTTTTGCCTCGTTTTAGGGCGTAAGTGCACCTTTCACGGATAATAATAAACTATTTTTATGATACTTCTCTACCAATCCCAATATAATAATCTATTCATACATTCTCTTATTGAACTCCCCGTTAGTAAAATCAGATCATTTTATCAGGTAGAGGGAGTATTTGTCTCCTGGTCAATTGTCTAAAGTTGCGTATTGGGATCTTTATGCTTGCATGTTTCCTCTTGAGACGGCTTTCAATATCAGTTTTTTATCATCATTTTTCCCCCTAAATATTCCGCTGCCGGGACTTGAACCCTGATCTTTCGGGTGAGAGCCGAGTATCCTGACCAACTAGACATTTGTTATCTTATTTCACTTTTCATGTTATGATGTATTTTGATGACTTGATACATGGAAACCATGTCATTATTAATTTCATCCCAAAACTGGCTTTGTCTTCATCATTTGCATTCTTTCATGGCTCTTCCAGAATAAAGATTTAGACTGAAAATAACTTACTTCCTTTTTATTCTGTTTTTGCCTATTTAACTTTCATAATATCTCCTAATAATCGTCTCTGAACATGTATTACCAGTTATGTTTTGTTGTCTCCTTTTCTTACTTTCCCCTCTATGCTGTGGCCTGTGGGCTCCCATCATTCCATACTTTAGAGCCTTGTATTCTTGTGAAAGAAAATGTATACTGCTGGATTTTATTGCCGTTCAACGTTATATTTAAGTATCATTGAGTGATTTGTGAGACGAGCTGATCTATTCGTGAATTCACATTCTAAGTTGTCTCACTAATTTGGCAGATTAATGTTTGGTTTCATTCTTGATTTACTGGAGCTGTCATTTTTTTGACTCTTAACAATTTAAGTTTGACTAAAATTAATCCATGCCAAACCAAGGTGTCTTGGTGTCTTTTACTTTGTATAAATACTGAAATTGATGCGCTTTATCGGTTCACCATGGTTACTAAGCCAGCTTATATATGAATTTATGTATTGCCATTGCCATTTTGTTTGCATTCCAAATCTTACACATAGACCATTATTAGCTGGATAGTTGTGGACATTGTCTTACCTACCAATAGTTCCCAGGAAATGATGCTCTATCTTATGCTGGGGGCTAATTGATGGATCCAGACAGCAAGAAGTTTGGAAGAGGTGAGCTTCTTACTGTGATCTTTGAACAGTTCCTTTGCATGTTTGGGTAAAATGACTACTGCTAACATTTGACTCTACTTGGGTCCATATTGCATGTCTAGGTTTTGATTGAAGGTGGAATGGAATGCATTGCATTTGATCTGTACTTGTATATGTGAATTTCATGCTTGATCTATTTGGTATTAAATTTTGTCTCTTCTGTTTTTCTTCTTCTTTTGTGGTGCCATTTTATTTAATTTCAGGAAGTGGAAGTGGTTGATTTACTTCTGACTTGAATTTGCCTATTTCTTTTGCACTTAAGTATGTAACCACTATCATCTATTTGTAAAACAAACGAAGATTAGTGATGCTTGTTTTGTTGCTTCTTGAATGAGGTTCTGCAAAATTCTCTGTGCTAAGCAACGTGTTATCCAGCTTCATCTTGCAGCATTTGGATTAATGTTGGCTGGTACTTTGTTCATAGGGTTACGAGTTTGGTAACAAGATCTCACAAATTACTAAAATATGCTTGAAGTCGTGCCAAAGTGGTCACAGTTTGCACACAGTTAAGGTGTTTTATAAAGATTGTGATTTGCTTAAAGAATATTGTGCTTCCCGTTTTTAAAAATTCCGAAGAATTTAAAATCAAAATCATTTGACTCTTTGATCTTCTTTTCATTGACATTTTTTCATTTTAATTTAGACACTGTTGGCTTTTTAATTTAGACACTGTTGACTTTTTAATTTAGACACCGTTGGCTTACTGTGGTTGATTGGTCCAATTACATTATTAGGGCCAAGAGAGCTTGCAGGTGCGGTGGATCTTATTAATCACTACAAGTTGTTGCCTCATCACGAGTACTTCTGCAAGAAGCCTCTTCCATTGTCAATTTCAGATACACGCTACCTTCACAATGTTGTGGGAGACAGAGAGATTAGGAAAGGGGAAGGGATGCAGTTGGATCAGCTTATACATGATACGTCTTTTTTAAAAGAGACAAATTCACGCATCCAACCATTTGAGTTAGATGCTCTTAATGAAGCTTTTCAACTACGTGAAGCAGCTCCAATTGTTCTGCCTCCGGTAAGAAACCTATTGTGTGAAGCTTGAGTTATATAAGTATGTCTGATTCAGCTCTTTAAGTAACCCTTTCACTCCTTTCTGATCTCTGAAGATGGAGGCAGAACTGCATTTTTTTTCTAACCCTGTGCTTTTCTATAATGCCAGTTTGCCTGTTCCACTAATTCCTGATTTGGTGTTTCATAGTCTGAAAAAGGGATCCCCACTGTAGCTGGAAAGTCTAAAAGTGAGTCGAAAGACAAGGAGAAGAAGCATAAGAAGCACAAGGATAAAGACAAGGAGAAGGACAAAGAGCATAAGAAGCACAAACACCGTCATAAAGATCGAAGTAAAGACAAGGATAAAGAGAAAAAGAAAGATAAAACTGGCCGTCATGATTCTGGTGCTGACCTTTCAAAGAAACATCATGAAAAGGTCTGCTACTAGCAAATGTTAATAAAATTATTAACCTTATCAAAAAAAAAAAAAAAGACTAGCAAATTTAAGAGTTATGCAAATCTGGTGATTCTCCTGTCATGCCATATACTGTGAATATCATGTGGTTGTTCCATATTTAAGAAGTTTAGAAGACTGGTTCACAGTAAAGACACTTAATAATTGGCCCAATGGTGTCTTTACTGAAAATGGCATTACTTCGTTACTGACAGAAATATTTTTTATAGTTCCACTTAGAATCTTGCTATCCGTTTCTCTTGCTTCCGTGCACTTTCACTACATTGCTTGTGATGTAGCTTATAAGTTGCATTTATAGGATTTTAGTAGAATAGAGTTCAGGATAAAAAGGTTTAATTTTAGGAAATATCTAGCTCAAGAGTTTGTTGAATTAATCGTTGCTTGACTTTCAGTTTTTAGTCACTGCATCAAAAGATAGCCATTTGACTTAGTTTAATTAGGTATCCAATACATTTTTTTTTGACATTAGTAACATTGTATTTCAGTCAGTACTTGGGTAGTACTGAAAAACCATATTTACAAAAATAAGAAAAAGAATAAAGTCCTTCCAATGCTAAACCAGGAACTAGATGGATCCTAAACCATCTATGATTGACTCAGTCTCATTGGAGTAGACATTTGTACACCAAAAACAGAACAACAAAATACATTTAAGCTTGACTTCCTGCAGGTTGTTGTCCTTATTTTCAAAACATCTATGATTTCTCTCTCTCCATATAGTCCACCATATACAAGCAGGTATTATCCTCCATCTTTCTATGTTTGTAGCCTCAACTCCAGCTTCCTCCCAACTGAAAAGGGTCTCATCAATCTTACTAGGCATACTCCAGGAAATGCCTCTGACATTAAGGAAAATCTGCCACAGTTGAGCAGTGAAATTGGAGTGTAGAAAGAGGTGTTTTACTGTCTCTGTATCCTTACCACATAAGGAGCATCTGTTGCATAATGATATACCTCTCTTGGCCACATTGTCCAATGTCAAAACTGCTTCATTGGCTAGCAGCCAGGTGAAGCATGCCACTTTTTGTGGAACTTTGACTCCAAATTTGCTTCCAAGGCCATCTGAAATCTTGATTCTCCACAAGACTTGTTTGTTTATATCCTTCATTCACCCTAGGTATCCAATACATTGTCATTTCCATAACTATTTGCTTACAACAGTAGCTTCAAGTTCTAGTTTGTTTGATTGCTCTCGTTTTTGTCGTCGTACTGTATGCTATGTACTGTTTTGATGAGAGGTTGACATTGTATTCTTTCTCTGTGTGACAATTGTGGGTAATTTTTCTTGTTTGATTTGATGTCTTGGCCTAGAGGAGCTTAACTATTGAGCTGGCTTGTTTGGATCGCTCTTGCTGTAAAAAGTTCATCACAGAGTTGACACTTTTAGGACTTCAACAAATAGTTATAATGTATAGACTGTGTTTATGCTTTTGTTTGACCTCACTGATTATGATCTTTCTGATGATATCAGAGAAAGAAGCATGAGGGCAAGGAGGATCTTAATGATGTTAACAAACACAAGAGAAACAAGGTAAGATAATTTTTTTTTTCAATATGATCTGTGCAAACGTTAAGTTCGTTTCTGAGCTCATTATATGGGCAGATTTTTCAGTATATTGAGACCATACCTTCACCTTATACAATATTCTTACATGCTGAAATGTTGCAGCACACGAGCTAAAAGATTGATGAAATTGGGGCAGTAAAGGTTACGTGCTGAAATGTCACATGTGCTGCTATAATTTACTGTTCTCATGTGCTGCTATAATTTACTGTTCTCATGTGCTGCAGTTAAGAATTTGGAGGAATCCTTTTCTTATTGTAAAATATCTAAGGTACAGATGTTCTTATCCTACTATATCCGACACATTGAATAACTTCATGAGTCTTTCCATCCATGCCATCTATTATAGAAGGTCTATATCCTATTTGATTCTGGAAGAAAAGAAAGACTAATTATTGACGTCAGAAGCTGTTTGCAGCCTGTTTTGTAGCCATTAGGTGCCCATGAGGTTCATATATATGACTTTAAAGTATTTCAGTTTGTGGATTTTGAACATTTGCATTTGTTGGATAAAAAGCAGATTCCTAATTATGGTCTTTTAGTGTTGCTTGTGCTTTTTATCTGTATATATTCTGTTGCAGACTGGAAGGGCTGCTGAGACTATTAAAACATAAAAAATAGAAGAGTTAGTAGACATTTTAGATACAGAGAGTTATTTGACATTGCATTCTGCTGTTAGCGTCTATTTTTGGCGTTTTCAACCTAGAGCACATCATAGTATTTGTTACCTTTTGTGTTTCATAATGTTTCTGTTTCTCTTCTCCATGCAGAATAGCTTCTGGACAAACTAAAGAATGGCAAGAGGGTGAATGCAGCTGTTGAAACTAGATTTTAGTGAAATGTACATAGTGCTGAAAAACAACCTCATTGTATTATACTATATAAGAGCTTGTTTGACATTGTTTATTTTCATAAGCACTTTCTTTTTTGGTAAACTAAAGTTTTTATTTACCAAATGGATAATGTACAGCTTAAGAAAAGGGAACAAAAACAAAACTCTAGCTGGGAAGGACTTATTGCTCCTATATGCATGTGTAATATAGAGTAACTATTATAAATAGTATTTCAACTACCTTTATTTATATTTCAAACTCTACAGATATTAAATTCATTATGAATTCAAGTGTTTAGGTGATTTGAAATATAAGATTAATATTCTCATCTTTCGTTATACTTTAATTTATTTATTTTTATAACATATGAAGATGAGTGTTTTGAACGGTCTGTAACTTGCTAGCATAGCTCAGGTTGATTCCAATGGAATATTTGCAATTAATTTATCTCATTTTGTGGAAAAGTAAGTACACTTATAAATTCAAATGAATATTTATCATCATCATGTTTTAAAAACTAAATAGAACATAAAAAACAGGAAATATAAGTTAAACACTTAATAAGAGGCAAGACATATTTTCAAACAAATACATGAACATAACTCTTTTTGCAACCATATTGTAAAGCAATCATCTTTGACTTGGTTATTATTATAATTGGGCAACATGTTTTGCAGTATTGTGTGGGGCACACCAATTATCATAAGGAAAAGAGAAAAAAGATAAATATAATCCCAAACTATTACAATAGTATGTAGATATCTTCTGTCATATTTTTGGGATATTGGCGTCCGTGTCGTTCAAAGGTTGAGTGTATATGTCCTTCACTTTAATGGAAGATTAAATAGGGATACATGATACAATCTTATCCATCGATCTAGTGTCTAGTCGGTGGAAAAGATAATGACACGTGTATTTCCGTTAGTATATACTCTAATTTTTGAACAACAGAAACACCTATATCCCAAAAATATGACAACAATTATCTGCATACCATTTACCTAGTTCAAAAATATATCTATCCTTTTTGTAAAGGAAAAATGGTAATTGGGAAAATGTTTTGGATTATTGTGTGGAGAGCATAAGCAAAAGGAAAAATGATAATTGATGAGGTAAGCATATGTAGTCATGAAAATACATCATCAAATAATCCGCATCCTTTTATTTTTCACATTATTTCTATAAGCAAAATAATACAATAGGTGAACATTGAAAATAATAGCAAGAAATTATCAACTTAGGTCATTAGGCAAAGCCATAAAAAGGCCATCATAATTTCAAACTCAAACCTACAAATCGAAATTGTGACAATAAATTAATATTGCGTACGCAAAGTCTTGCGTACGTCACTGGCTTATATCAAAATCTTTGATACATATAAGACAACACTAGCATGAAAAAAACATATAGTTATTGGATACACACTAAAGCTTTAAGACTCATTAACCAATTTATCAACAAAGTCATTAATGTTTCTATCTGAACTTCCACCTTCATCCATGGCCTTTTTTGTCACTTCTCTCCATTTGGTTGCATTTTTTCTAATCTCTTTGCCTCTTTCTCCTTCCATAACTTCTCTTATGCAATGTTCCACAACTTCTTGTTCAACAACACCCTTTTCATTAGCTTGTGCCTTTATTCCCATCTCCCAAATATCCATCACATACTTAGCATTTGTACATTGATCAGTCCATATTGGAATTGCCACCGTTGGAACTCCCAAACTCAGAGCCTCTAAAGTCGAATTCCATCCACAATGTGTCATAAAACAACCGATCGCTTTGTGTGATAATACATCTAGTTGTGGACACCAAGTTACAACTAGCCCCTTTTCCCTTTTTATGTTATCTAAAAAATCTTTTGGAATTTTAGGCTCTTCTGATTCTCTAACTACCCATAAGAAGTTGTGGTTGCTTTTATTCAATCCACAAGCTATCTCCTTCATTTGCTCTTCTTTCAATTCAGCCATACTTCCAAATGAGACATACACAACTGATCCATCATCACAATCACTTAGCCATTTCATGCAAACATCACTTTTAGGCTTGTATATACTTAGACCATATGAATTATCATTCTCAAGTCTCTTGTCCACATACATTGATGGTATGGTTGGTCCAATAGTCCTCAATCTCAATCTCTTTGTTATCCAATCCACTTCCTGTTCATAATTGAAAAAGAAAAGATCATATAAATGAACTATTTATGTGACTTACTTTCCTTTTTAGTCATTCCCAAAAAGAATGAACCAATTCTATATTAAGCAAGAATTTCACTGTAAAAATATCTATTTTAGCCTTAATAAAATAATTTACCATCACAAAAATTTCTATCATTCATTTTGGACCACAAGTTTTAAAAATCTTATTTTCCTTCTTAAACTTAGTGCCGAGTCAAACTACCTCACATAAAATGAAACGGAGAGAGTAAAAAATAAATAGTTTTTCGGTGCAATAAACTCCCACTATGCACGGGTTTGTGAGAGGATATATAAGATCACATTTGATCTATTGTACAAACTCTTACATTTCTACCAGAGGTAGCTTGAACTTATGACCTTCTTGATCACACGGTTTCAATCCTTACCTATGTTGAGCACTAAGGTGCAACGACATTAAGTGGTCCATGTAGATTAAATAAAATTTGTGTTAAGCAAACAAAATAGCAAAATTTGATTTTCTATATGTGACATCAATCAAGGTGAAAAAATGCACAAAAACCATCTACGCCACCAAAAAGTAAAGAACCCGTAGTCATGGCATGTGCTATAATGCACAAAAACACTCCACCTCACTAATTAAAAGTAAAGCACACGTGGTGCTTGCTTGTGACACATAGGGCTTTGGGATCCTTCAGAAAATGTCAATGGGGTGTGTTAAATTCTTTAAAAAGTTATTGATATTTCGAGGATCTGATATAGATATGATGACATTTCTAAAGGATCTGAACAACATAATTTCTTACATTGCACCGTGACTCGATCCCTTTCAAGTAATAAACAAATAATAAAAGAAGAAGAGTGAGAATACAAACATGTTTCTCCAATTCATATATGGTGTTGCAAAGGATCCAATCAGCTTCTTGTATATTAGAGAATTGATCAACAAGCATCTTCAAAAATGGTGGATATGACCCCATATCATTAACAAATGATGGCAAGTCAGAGGGAACTAAAGGTTGCAATAATCCAGGTAGCAATACTTGATCATGTCCTTCAACAGGAAGCTTTAGTTCCTTTAGTTGGATATGATAAAAAATATTTTCAACAGCACATGACATAGTGAAGAAAACACCACTTACAAGTCCAAACATTTTTGCAACATCAAGAATCCAAGGCATGAATGAATCATAAATGACACAATTTATAGGATTTCCTTTGTTTTTCAACTTTTCAATGAGTTGAATAAGAGCTTGTGATCCAACTATTTGATGACTTTCTAAGTAGGTTTCAATGGATTTAGCACAAAAAAGTCCATTCACATCATCATATCCATCAGAAATTGGCTCAATTGTGATGGAACTTGTCAATTCTTGCATGCTTTTGTTGAATATGTAAATAGTAGGAACAAGTGTGATCTCTATGCCTTTGTGTTGTAATCTTTTGGAGAATTGAAGCATTGGATTTATGTGGCCTTGTGTTGGAAATGGTATTACCAAACAATGGATTTTGTTGTGAGCTAAGTTCATTTTTTCTTTGATATGTTCACAATTCAATGTTGAAGTCCTCTTTCTTTGATCTCTATATATTAGGGATGGCAATGGGGCGGGGTCGATACGGAGCGGGGTGGATTTAAGGCTATCTGGGCGGGGCGGGTTTAAGATTATGTGGGGGCGGGTTGAAGTGAGTTCTTTTAAAATTAATGTGGGGTGGGGCGGGGCGGGGCAGGTTGCGGGTACATGTGATTTTATGTGGATTCAAACTTAATTTTAATTTCTTACATGTTATAAAGTGATATAACATTATTTATTAAGGTAATTTCATTGAAACTACTAAAATATTCAAGATAATAAATGAAAATGGTTCAATAAAAAACAATATAATTTCTTGCATGTCTTTCAATTGACTTCTAAAAACTAAAATTTTAAGTCAGTATCCTATTAAATTAATACAACTTAATGAAAAAATGAATTTTATTTTTAGTATCAAACATAACTACAAAAAGAAAATATAAAAAAAATTATGTGGGTGGGTGAGGAACGAGGTGAGACAAGTAGAAAATGAAAAGTGTTGCTACGCGGAGTGAATTAAAAATTTTACGGGTCAAGCTCAATTCGTACCGCTCGCCCAACATTGTCATCCCTGCTACATATGAAGAGATTGAGGGTTCTACGATTCGATTGAATTCAGTAAATCTGGAGATAAGAATGATTGACAGGTCAAAATATTTAAAAAATATATAAATAATTCTTTTAATTTTTCAAAGAGTAATTACATCACGTATAGAGGAAGAAAAGAGTATTAATTATTAAATATTGATAATTGCCAAAGTTCTGAACCTAAAGTACAATAAATTTAATGATCAAAATATAAATAACAGCTACTCATCAAATTTGGGAATTGTCTCTCTCTTATGGTATCATAGGAATTGATTTTATATATGCAACATGTTTTATTTTATTTTTGTTTTTTGTTAGACTTTGCAACCCAAGTGCTATTTTAATATTCTTTTTTTTAAAAAAAAATAGACTTCTTCACATGCTAAATTTAATTGATGGTCTCATCCAATTATGTAGAGCCAATTTTCTTTTTATAATAAAAAATAAAAAATTCCTCATGAACTTTGCAGCAAATTACTTCATTATATAATTGATGATCTCATCCTAATTGTGATTGAATAGTCTCATAGGCTAATAGAAATTTCGTAAATTTTAAGTGTCTATTTAAAAAAAGAGTAAAATTAAAAGGAGATTATAAAACCATCTCAATCATATCGATTTTTCTTTGTTATCAGAACGATATTACTGTTAATTTTTTATTTTTCACTTTTAAATTATCACCTCAAAATATACTATTATGAAAATATTTCTTTTGCAAGTATGTCGTTGAAGAAGCACTTCGATTCTTTATCAAGAAGTCAAGAATGTAAAACTTTGTTGTCATATTGTTTAATCTTAAACATTTAATAGGTGTGCTTGGTTTTTTCGTATTATTTGATGGAGTATCTATTATAATGTCTTTTAATTTTAAATCAAATTAATTAAAGAGTAAAGAAACAAAGTCGACGCCTAGGTCCTAGATTAGATTTGTATATATTTGA